AAGCAACATTTTTCAGTGAAGTAGGGCAATGTTTACAATTAATAATCAATAAAATAAACTATTAAAACATCAATTGTGAAGGTGAGAATCGTCATATGACGATATGTAAATATGATATATAATGACATTAACTTGTATAATAAATAAAAAAATAGGATACAATAAACAATATAAWATTACATGTCAAACAAAAGATGCATTTTATTAAAATGCATATTGATTTAAAACAARTACAAAACAAAAGGCAAATAATTTCAAGGTAGTATTTAACCTTTTTTGGCTTGTTTTATACCTATTTAACCATGATACTAAGTCTGTTMTATTTAGTAAAGCAGAATGATATTATTATGTCAACTTTGTTGTTTTATTTTCATTTTCCTTTTATGGGTAATTTTCTGGTTGGTTTATGTAGCATGTCATTTATGCAAAGYAACAAACCTATCAATATTTATCCTTACATGCACTAGTTTAATTCAATAAAGYTATTATTGATAATTAATTACAGAAAAAAAAACTATTATCAAAAGATTTTTAGCTTTTAATTCTATTTTGCCTATTTGAATTACAGGTAGCTTTTTGACTTAAAACAATGAGTGAAATTTGAGACAAAAGCTATATCGTAAAAAAGAAAGCTTTCAGATYTATAGRYAGCAAGAATACATTTTCAATAAAAKTGCATTCMYTATAGGTAAATAACTGCATGACATAGGTGGATTATATAGATAGATATGGCCATGCAGTGTTATGTAAATATAATCTTTTAGTGTTGAACAGGCTTGCCAAAAGTGAGAAATATAGGTATTTCAAGGATAATTATAAKATAATATTATTTATTACTAACACCAGTATTATTAATAGCCATTAATATTGTTAATAGGTTTACTGTAAGATTACCTTCCTTTGACAGGCTGATTGTGTCAAATTTCTCATCCATTGAGTCTTGTCCCAATGTTTCTTGCCTCATGGTACAGCTTGCAGCATATKSCTTATCCTCTTCCTCACTCAATCCTTCAGCAATCTCTTTGCCCTCAACATTGAATATTGTAGGTATCTTGGGCCGTGCAATTTTCTTTTTCCTCTTTTTGACCACTGGTTCACCAGTGGCGTCCATAGAGGATACCTCTTCGTCAAATGTTATTAGGTCACCACCAGATTGAGCAGCAGCTAGAGCATCAGCCGCAGCAATGTTTGACCCACTGAATGATCTCAGCACTTCTTTAGGATCATATTCCTCTGTAAAYTCATCGTCTTCTGCGCTACTTAATGTCGTCTCCATCAATGGCGGCTTCATTGATTGATCATCAAATGAGTGAAACAAAGATTGAGTAAAATCATCAAAGTTTTGCTGAGCCTTGATGTAAGATGGCCTACGGACAGGTGAAGCAGGCGGAGGGTCAAAACCATTGCTTCTTTTGCTACTYTCATTTTCAGCRTCTAGTGTAGACAAGTTCCATCTATCWGATGTTGATGTAAAAGTCTTATTTGTGTTATTGTTTGTTTTGGTACTTCTAGTACTATGCAGTTGCTCAGAACTACTTTGTGGTTGAGTGAAGTCAATTTCATCAGAYTCATTGACGATTGATAATGATTTATACCCGTAGGGGCTGAATGTGTTATCATCATCATAAGTTGTGTAATTCTGATCCATCCACTGACTGGACGGAGTTGATGCAGCATCAGTGATCATACTAGTCCTTATTGTTTCCATTAATGTCACTGGTGTACCTTCAATATCACTTTTAAATACTGGTAAATCTTCCATTTTACTTTCTTGATTAGATACATTCRAGTCTTTACTAAAAAGTTCATCATCTAAACTTGGGAATGGTATATCAGACGATAAATTATTACCGGGTAATGAAGATGGTTCTGAGGGTGTATTATTATTATTATTACTTGGTTTTTCTACTGGAATAACGAATGAATCGTTGTCACTGTTTGTTCTTGGAGAGTATGGGGTCCCACTCTCCGTTTCACTAGTGCAAGGACTTTCCCTGGAAGAAGTCCTCTTTAGTTGAAATGGTTTGGTTCTCAAAGAGAAGGGTCGTCCTTTAGACAGTGGAGTAGCCGTGCCATTATCCTTTCGCTCTAAATTATTCTTTGAAGATCTCGGATGATCTGGCACCAATGATCTCTCTCTCAYCCTGGCGGAGAAGCGTTCTTCTGAGGAAGCTCTTCTCTTCGGAACATTTTCCTTGTTATCTTTTTTGAATCCCGTATAAGAAGAGGAAAACGATTGAATTTGTATTTTCTTGACTAAAGTTGGCCCCCGCGGTGTCAGTAAAGGAGATGAAATAGCAGAGGCGAGTTTTCCACCTTCTCCTGAACTGACTGAAGTTAAACTACTTGACCTAAACTGGGCTCCTTTAATTGTATTTGTCGCGGTTCCTGATAATGACGGTTTTGAGCGCGAAGCTTGCCGTGTCGAGGAATTTAGCAAGCTTTCGTCTTCCCTTTTACGTGATCGTCGTTCGTGAACGCGCGTATCTGTCGCAGACTCTCCATCAGTAGTATTATCCTCGCCATATGAATCGAAAGACTTCGACAATCCTTTGCGTTTGACACGTTTTCTACGCTTCGTATTACTGACATTGGGTCTTGATAAACCAGGCGAACAAACCTCACCATCCGAAGAGCTTGACAATTCAAGCTGATCGCTAGCCGAGTCAGTAAATGTACATGATGCTTCAGATGTACTACCATGAGTTGAGTGCTTGCGGTGGGTTTGACGAGTAAACTGCTCTTGTTTGTCCAAGTGACTCATTCCTAAAGCCAGGCATTCAGTACTGATATTGTGTGTTTTTTGGCCCTGAGTTCGCACAACTAGTTTACTATGTTGATTAGTTTGTTGTGGTTGAGATGAAGGATCGCCGCGTTCGGTGTTTTCATGTTCAGTCCGGCTTTTCGATTTACTCTGGTCATCGCTGCGACTCACACTCGGTTCTGTGTCTGCATTCCGCTGGATTTTCGATCCCGATTGCCCTTTGACACGAAGTCTCTGAGGCTGTTTACACGTAGCTTGACTACTAACAATGATTTTAGAACCGGTCTCTGTCCGTACACTCTGGMCACTGGATGACAAACTTACGCGAATGTTATTATTTTTTTCACGTTGAGGTGGTTTTGTAGAGGCAGGAATAAGTTGAATAGCGTTGCGTTGTAATTTCTGTGACGACTGATCAGCTCTTATGTGCTCAGGTATCCCAGGTATTTCAGAGCGATCCGCCATCGCATATTTCTCGTTACCAATCAGGGTATTCGAGGACACCAAACGAGCATTGTTATTCTTGCTAATTTGTCTGTTTTTTGGCTTGCCTACATAGTGAATTGTTGAAGATACATGCCCTTTTGAACGATGATGGATTCTTGCACTTGCAACATGACTGGAAGCGTTTCTAAGTTCAACAGTTTTTTCACTTGTTTTGATGTATGTTGTTTTGGTAGTCTGTGTTTCCGCTGGTTCCACTTGGATAGCTGTGTTGGTGTTAATGTGATTAATCTCCTTGGATTCCTTCACTTCGAACCTCGCTTCGGTTCTGTTTCGGACCGGTTTAGAGATTTTATATGTCTTGCTGTCACAGCGGCTGACCTGAATAGACATAATAACCGCGATATATTTCTGTATTTCAACAAAATCTCGTGTTACAATCAAACTCGATTAACGCTCTTTGATCTCATGGGATGTCCAATGCAGATCCAGCGGCCAAACGCGGTCACAAATCTGTCCCCATATGCTGYCAAACGATGGAATTCCATCGTCCATCCAAGTCGCATTACCGAGCTCCCAGTGATGATGTGATCTGTGAACGCTCTAGTAAATACAGCTTTYTTCKGAAACGTCTCACAACTGCTCCGTGGCCTCTCTTTTATCGAAATGAACTACCTTGAAAAAAGACAATGAAAATGTAGAAAGTCAGCGATAAAAACACTTTGAAAAATGAACAAAGAACTATGACTAAGACACGAGTGATGAAGTAAGTTATGACTAAGTTTGAATGCATAAAATCATACGATCTATACGATTGCAATACCATCACAGTTGGATATCAAAAAAATAAAGAAATCACGCAAGGTATTAACATTAACTAATATTGTCCCTTATGCGCACAGGAAAAAATACATATTAATATATACAAATGAATTAATTGTACTGCATACACAACGGATAGTTGGAGCGAGCAGAAAAAACACGATGTTTAGTATTCAGTGACCTTTTCGATGCTATTAAAAGGTCATGCAAGGGACTTAAGACGCCTCAGTTTCCACGATATTGGCCTTTAATCAATTTTATGAGAATTCTACATGTGTACAACGATATTAGCTTCGACGCATAATGTTTTTTTTTGGCGGTTAATATCGGTTTACGAATTGTACATATTTTTCATCTATCGTTTGGTCAAGTTGAGCTWGTCGTAATTGATTTTTAATCACAATCAGTCACGAAATCTTTTGATTCAAAAATACGAAAAAAGCATAACTAGAAAAATTCCATAAAAAGAATAAAACAAGATGTAATTATGCGACAGCACAAAATATATCATATCTAGTTTTGTTATTAAAATGCGAGAAAAGCATAGTTTTACATGAATATGAGGAACCGCCAAAGCAAATAAAAAGAAGCAAAAAAGAAAAAGAAGATGATCATTCACTAGTAACTATTAATTATTATCCCATGGGATGACAATATTGATAAACCTCACTTGGTTAAGGCGTTTTGTAGCTCGATGCAGTTGTGGTAATACACCGACTTCTGTGAAGTTTTATCAGAGCTGTTTTGACAAAGAATTCACTAAGTGTCGGAGCTCTTTGAGGAAGTAAACAATAGTAGTCATGGCTGCCGAAATTATAAATCTTTTTTTGACCTTTATCTGTAGGCGCTTTGATAAAGAAGTGAATGAAATATCATAAAACTAACCTAACATTAGATCAAAAACCATTCCAAGGTCATTYGGRGGAAACTATTTCATGCTCCATTATTTCGAATGTCATGCGCTAAAAGCCATTTCAATATTCATTCAGAGAAAACCATTTAAATGCTCCATTATTTCRAATGTCATGCACTAAAAGCCWTTTCAATGTTCACTCAGAGAAAACTATTTAAATGCTYCATTATTTCGAATGTTATGCACGAAAAGCCATTTCAATGTTCATTTGGAGAAAGCCAGTTTAATGTTCTATTCTTTCGAATGTTATGGACGAAAGCTATTTTAAAGTTTATTTGTAGAAAGCCATGGAAATGTCAATTTACTGAATGGAAAAGACAGTCCAATAATAAAGGAAGAGTATATTAGGTTTATTTGTTTGTAAGAGCGTAAAAACACTATTTTTCCGTATTCAACGCAATATAAAACTATGAAGGCATTTTGCGTGCGTGTAGTATTTTGTTGTTTTAGTGAAAAAAAATTCCCCATGTTTGCATTGCCCTTACTCTCTGTATTTTCACTGTTATCATGATTTTAACTCAAGTACCCTCTACACTTAACAAATTGGATTTTTATCTTTTGTCGGTAGATAGCTTGCGACAGAAATTCTAGCAACAGTTTACTCGGGCTTCTTATGCATCTCCAAATCGTGTCGTAATGTCGTGGTAGATGTGTAGACAGGAAATAACAGCTCTTCTTGTTATCATGATTTTAACTCAAGTACCCTCTACACTTAACAAATTGGATTTTTATCTTTTGTCGGTAGATAGCTTGCGACAGAAATTCTAGCAACAGTTTACTCGGGCTTCTTATGCATCTCCAAATCGTGTCGTAATGTCGTGGTAGATGTGTAGACAGGAAATAACAGCTCTTCTCATTATAAACTTTGATTTATGATTCGACGAGAGCCTATGGATCATACGGTACCTCCTTACGAAATTCTAGCAACAGTTTACTCGGGCTTCTTATGTGTCTTCAAATCATGACGTAATGTCGCGGTCGATGTGTATGCAGGAAATAACAGCACTTCTCATTTTGATGCGACGAGAGCCTATGGATCATACGGTACCTCCGTACGAAATTCTAGCAACATTCACTCGGGCTTCTTATGCATCTCCAAATCATGTCGTAATGTCGCGGTCGATGTGTATGCAGGAAATAACAGCACTTCTCATTATAAACTTTGATTTATGATGCGATGAGAACCTATGGAAGCTGCGGTACCTTTGTTTCGGATAGCGTTTGAATTCAGTTGATCTCGCAAATGGTTTGAAAACATCGCCAACCAAACGACGCCAGAAGAACAAGCAAAATCATTGAGCAAAATAGAGATATAATTATATATATWTTTTAAAAATTAAATCAAAAAGACAAAAACGAGATTGTCCGTGACGTTATAGCCGCCATATTGGATGACGATTAGATCAGTGGCAAGATGGAGTGCCCTGAGCAGTAGTTCCAAGTCTTTTGTATTGTCTTTTGTTAGCCTCTTTCACGYGAAAGGCCTCGTATTCATTTATGGCGGCCAAATATCTTTGTTAGTTTGTCTAATTTCCAGGGAATGCACATCCAAAATACGTAAGATATAAAAAAATACGAATTTCGTGACTAAATACAAAGGAAAAAGACATYCAATTTGTCGTCTATTGTCTATCTTAAGTGCGTGAATTGATTCAAAAAGGTTAAACTGCTAGAAGGCAAACAAGGGAGGAAAAGACGTGCGACACTATTCAATCGAGACAGTTATTTTTACTGCGGTTTCGGAAGTTGACCAGGAAAGAAATGTATATCACAGGTCAGGTTGAAGATTAAAAGACGAAACACACGCTGATAAGGTTAAAACAGTAAAGACGCCATACTTCTTTTATATATCGTAGTTGTGTTGTTCGTATTTTTGTTGATGGTAATGTTCGTAGTGGTGGTGATGGTCGTAGTTGTGTTGATTGTGGTGGTCGTAGTGATATTAATGGTCGTAGTGTTGGTGGTGGTGATGGTCGTAGTAGTGCTGATGGTGATGTTCATAATGGTAGTGTTCATGTTCGTATTGTTGGTGGTGATGGTCGTAGTAGTGTTTTTGGTCGTAGTAGTGCTGATGGTGATGTTCATAGTGGTG